AGGGTGCAGAAAAGGAAATTCGTGCAACAACTAAATGCACCCATAACCCACACACGAAATGACAAGCCCGATGGCACAGTGCGATCAACGGCTTCTAGTCATGTCTAATCCGCTGCCAAACGAATGGACATTCACAGCAGTGGACTCATCAAACAGACTGCTCTACCTAGGACAGGTTTAGTACCCATTATGAAATAAAATTCCCCAATGAAGAATCGCACGCTGCACTCAATACGGTGACCGATGCAGAGTGATAAGTCAGGTAAGAGTCCCTGTTCGTCTTTAGACTATTTCTTCTTCATCTATGAAAATCACTTTATAGTCATCTGATCTTCGCTGTTGCCAAAATATGCAAACTGTGCAAATTTAGTCAGTTATACTTTCATTAGCATTGGAGTACTACTCTGAGCACGAATCGGGAGACCAATTCAGGAATCTAACGATTTTAAACAAAGCATGTTCAACCTCTGAAAACGATGGGCATCCCAGTAATATATTTTCGAACTTCAACTTTAAGAGCAATTTGTTTCTTAATTAACTTTCATTTTAGTTCTATTTTCACATATACTCAAGCCTCACAAGCATGACACTTGTGAGCTACGGTTGTTTTGTCATATTGGTATGTAATTTTCAAGGTTATAGAATATGTATTGCTGTACCATGTTTTAGATGTACTGCTTTGGCATCGTTATAGCATACTACGGGAAGATCGACCAGTGCTGAAGAAACCAATGCAAACATCGATCGTGAATGATTTTGTTCATAATTCGCAAAATTTTCGCCGAAAAAGTTTCTTTCACTTTTCGGACTGTTTATCATGTTAAAGTGATGATGGTCTTAGTCATAGAAATTTTTTATTAGCTACATAGTCCAGAGAAAACTGCGTTGCAAAGAATCCGCAGAAAGTTGCCTGCAATTTGCAAATGGCTTATTTTCTTAATATTCAAAAAATTAAGTTCAATTTCAAACTGTTGTATTGTTCATAAGATGCATTAATTCTTTATGCTCCTGGGAAATGAAAATTTAACCGGGGATCTTGACACTTGACAAACTTTCTCACTGAAATCAAATAAACAGTGGGTCTGGGCTTTTCATAAGAATTTTCCTCTCCCATCCAGAACAAAATGCAAAAACGTAAGGTCAGCATTAGGACCGCTATACTCTCAAACTGTGGTTCCGGCCTCTGAGTTGGTTGGATGCTTCTATCTGCTCTAACTCCCTTGCCCATCGCAGAAGAGGGCGAAGCTAGAATACGCAATGCAATTGTTGGCATGTTACAGTGCTACTCTCCTACTGTTTATTGAGGGTATCTACGGCCATATCCTAGTGTCCTAATCTTCGTGCAAGCGGGTCGTCAGCTATCTTCCGCATCGATACGCTGCTGTCAGATTACTTGGTGGCCCGCCTCCTCAAATCCGTTGTGTGCTGCCTCCTTGTTAAAGGAGTTGAAGGGGATGAGAGCCGGTTTAAGCATCAGTAAATCGTTGCACGACCTG